TTAGCTACATTATTCACCGATTTTTTGAAGTTTCGCATTTGAATATTGTAATGGCTTATGACAAAAGTTACCTTTGTAGGTCCATGTCGACGTATAGACTTTAATATAACAGCTACATTCAATATTTTTAAGATTATAACAGAATTTTTAACGGATTTTATTGTTTTTGGGAATTGCCAAATTCGCTTCAAATGGTGGAGGGTATTCAAAGTTCGGACCGGCCCAACTTACAGTATTTGTAATTGTACTTTATTTGACCCAAGAAATACCATGTAAACTACTACGACTGGACTGTAGAAATGATAGTCTCTAACTAGTAGTTTATTTAATACAATTAATTTTGCTTAATACTCATGATTAAGTTAAATTAATTGTAGACAAATTTGGCTGTTTCAGATCTCAAGTTGGAACAAATCAATGAGATTTTTACATCAAATATTCTGGGAAGATAGGAAACAGTTAGTTTGTGGCTTCGATATTCTTAAGTTGAAGAAGACGTGTGAAATAGTTTCGGGCATTGAAGCAAATTTCGAGTTTTGTGGCATTAACTATTTAATCACATTTACATTATTTATTTATTATTTTTATATATTATGATCCTTTCCCATTTCGTATAATCTGATTGATTTTTATGTTTGTTGGTAAATCATTAACTTGTTATTGTTCCGGTATCCCTTGTGTAATTCCTCTATATTGCCCAATTCCTCTTATGTGTTCACTGCAACTACATACTGAGAACTCATAATACCAAAATGTGATAACATGAGTTCAAAAGTAAGACTAAACGTACGAAATACATTTCCCGTATACTGGGGCTATACCAAAAATGGACCGTCATTATCTGCTCTTTGAACGAATGTTTCTAAGAGAAATCCTAAACAAACTACAGTCTAGAAATAAATTTCTTAGAGTTTGTCGAAATCGGTTCAGATTTATAATTCCCTCCGATTACATTTAAATTGTGCAACAGCCATGTAAAGTTTGTCCAATTATATTTATTTCCATTTTAATTTTGCACTAAACATCCGAAAGAATAAAACCAATAAAGTTGATTACCATGTAATTGTGCCATAGCTGAGATTAATATAGAGCTCCTATATGTTAGTTACATTCAATTTCAAATGACAACCCTTTTACAATTCGCATGACTTGCTTAACATTTTTAATGAATATGTGTTACGGGAGTTGCTCTGCTAAATATATATAGTGGTGTAGGGCATCGTAATATAGAGTCAATACGACATTTTTCTTTCCTTACTAGTTTTCACTACGGCCGTCTTCGTTCCTTATATCGCAATTAGATCTAAATTATGACTTCGTTAGCCAATGTTAACCATTGTTAGCCTAACTTCGACACAGCCATCTTCATGGCCGAATCGCTATTTGGTAAAACGCGCTTTGAACTAAACGGCGCATTTTACAATCATTCGCCAGCCTTTTTCTACTTCTAATGCATTCATCCCATGATTTTTCAATGATTCCATCAAGAAATTTACGTCCCACAACGATTCTACGGCAAACAATAGACACATTAGCGTGGAATTTATATTATGGCCAGAACATGATTTTTGCTTTCGGCATTTTCAATTGCTACTTATTTTTCTGTTTATTACTTTTATTCAAATTAGTTTTGGCCGAAACAATACTAAACAGTACTTTGTATTTAAGATGGTTTTGTACCCTACCGACTAGACAAGAGATTATTCTGGCACTGATCGACAGAATCAAAGCTTAAGAGCGTTTTTTTTATTAAATTGAAACCAGAAACACAAATATTTTTTTAGCTGGAAAAAATGAAAAAAGTTGATCGTTTCAAATTGGGGTATTCGCCTCTGTAACACCTAGGTTTGTCAAAAAATAAACTAAAACTGTAAAAACTATGCAATATGGGGCGATCCCAATGAAATAAAAACGAAAAACCTTTTATTACTAGGTAAAAAAGAGATTAGTGGGGTAACAGGCATCCATACGGGTCACCTGGGCCAACAAGCTATTTGTACAAGATAATTGTGCAGATAACAGTATATGCAGGGCATGCGGGAAGGTGAAGAAATATTGGAGTATTTTCTCTGCCAGTGCCAGATCAATTCCAGACCTAAATCAGATGAAATAAAACATCTAAGATATTTTGTTAAGGATACAGAATTTCAAATACAATAGACTGTAAACTGCCAGTCTTCTTTCAACAACCTGTTAGTGTAGAGCGCACAACAGACCTATACTGGCTAAGTGTATGTCCACCATGACATGTGCCGATCGCCTCGCCCCTCTCTTCAACCTAACTCAACTTAACCTAACTGAAATTTTAGTTTTTTAAATTTAGTGTATATTGTTGCAGATAGCAAAGGATTGAATATAAATTGTATCGGCTAACGTTCTATAACCTCAGAAATAAAGCTACATAGTGAAATATATCATTTGGCAGGGTATATATCAAATTTTATCCAAAGTTAGGAAATATTTTCGCCTCACTCAGATAGATTTGAACTATGGTACATATACATACCCTATACTGTTAATTTTGGCACTTAAAGTAAGTCTGGTAATACTAAAAGGATTGTATTTCATGGGTAAATGTGACTAGAATTATATATTCGGAGGAACCTTTATATGGGAGCCATAACGTGGATCTATATGTACAATGTTCCGCCACTGGTGCTGGAATCCATTACGAACTATAAATACCATTTTTTTAGACAAAACAAACAATAAAATGTGGCGAAAATCATCAAAATACTGAATACGGCTGTTCCAAGTTCTCAAGCTCTACGTCAAATAATCGTCATTTCAACAGACAGTTGAACTTCTTTTAATAGACTTTGAATGTTATGCTGATTATAAATATATATACTTTATGGGGTGTACGACGAATATTTAGGGATGTTGCAAACGGAATAGCAAAGTGAATATACATATGCTAAGTTAATAACAGATATCTGTTTTCGGATCCAAGCACCTGAAAGACAAATTTTCAAATGAAATTTTCAATAATGAAGTACGTTGAATTAATTTCAATTTTAACGATTCTTTGATAATATCGAAGGTATTTCCGTTTTTTTTACTACGACCAATTACTTTGGTGTGAAATGAATGAGTGACGATTTATGACGTGACCCGTAACCAAAGTAGTAAAAAAGGTATCAAGAAATCACATGAGAACAGAGCAGTTTTATAATGGCCGTTCATTTTTTACAAACACATTAAGAAATACAAACGGTACTAAAATATTGACCCTAAACAACCTGAAAATCTATATCAACACATAAGTATGGGTGCTCACATCCTTGAATTGTATGGAGTTGCGTTTGATTCAGATTTTACGTTTTTACACATTATAAACTAAAAAGAAAATAAAGTTTTAATTTCTACGAAAGACAATAAAGAAGCTTCATGTTTGTCGACTTTACTTGATCAAGAACCACGCTGCGTATTCGTAATTTTCAACTCATTATTTAAATGGACTACATTAAAGACACATAAAACTCACATTGACTAACTAGTTCGGTAATATGTGGCTTGAGATGTCTTTCAAATCGATTTTCAACTACACCAACAACCATTGAAGAATAGAATATCCCCTTACGTTATTGTTCGAGAGAACGCGTTGAATGGGCAAGAATAACTAATTTAATCTTATTACAATTATCTACATTAGTTTGTCATTACAACAATAGCTGCTTGTACAACTGTGAGCGAAATCTGAAACTGTGGCCTAATTGGCAATCATGTCATACCGACTGAGCGGACAAAATGCATCCAAAGTCGTTCGCATAGAATTGAACTGAAAATGGGCCAATCTTTGATTAAGTAGCTGCTTAGACAGACTAAAAATCATTGTTCGTTGTTGCTGTTGACCATTGTCGTCTGTGGGGTTGGTTTTGTCTTTCCGCCGTACCGTTACTGTTGCTTGTTATTTCTATTTTATTTTGTTGCTGTTGGTGTTGTTGTTTTGTTTTGACGCTGTCTGTTTAACCAAATAATTGGCCATAATCTCCATACAATGTATTGAGAACTACGAAATCACATGCAAAGGTACACTGAAATACAAAGTCGTTTGTTTGTTTACACAGTACACCCACACGCACTGGCACACGCACGCACACACACACACATCCAGGCTCACATCGACTCAGAAAATGCCATTCTTTTGCACATCCAAGTGTCTGGATGTGCGCTCATTCGTTCTGACAAAGTAAAAGATGTATCAATGAACGAGCGATTGACCAATGTTCACGTCCACACTCTGCTATACATACATGCACTCTCTCTCTCTCCCCACATACCAATTCAAACAAACAAGATTGACACGTGCTGTAACGGCAACATGTTGCTAAATATTGCGGCAACACGTTGCAGCCATACCAGCCATGATTCACTACCGGAAGTGCATTTCCCGCCATAAACTCTGCACAACAACTGTATGATCGTCGTGTGGTGGTGAGCGAGCACAACAACGACTCACACACAAGAGCGACAACATAATGTCGGCAACATGGTGTTGCTGCCACACTCAGTTTCCAACTGTTGCTCGCTCGTGCGACGTCAACAATGCACAAGTTGTAGGTAATCTCCCCATCAACTCACACACACACACATTCATACACCTGGTCAGAGCAACAACTTACTACCACGACCAATTACCCTCTCAGCCCCAGTTCCCAGCTAACAATTCTATTCAGCCTGCCTTTAGCTTCAACCGGCACTCTGGCAACATATACGCCTGTGACCGACCATTGCCGCCAAGCTCTGTGTCACTGTGTGTTGCTTGCCATTGCCTTGGCTGGTTGGTTAGTTGGCTGACTGTCTGGTTGTTGCTGCTTCTTGATACTCCCAGTCGAATGAGCTGAGCTGTGCTGTGCTGCACTGAGCAACTGTGTGAGTAGTTGGATGGATGGATACGTACGTCGTACGTACGAATGCATGGCTGACTGACTGGATGGATGGATGGAAATTTGCCTTTTTCTTACGTAAATAAGAATTTTGGTTTTTGAAAATTCAGTTTGTATTCGACTACCAAATGCAACGAACGGGTTTAGCGCTAGTGCACCACACCACACAACACGTCAACGAAGCACCGAAGACGACGACGACGACGAAGAAGAAGAACGCCTCTCGAAGTAAGCAAAAGTGCATGCACATTGTCTGCCAGTTGTGTCAGTAGTGTTGTTGCGGTCGACAACACCGTCAGTATCGTCGTCTGCGACGCTAAGGTGAATTGTGAAAACACGAAATAAAATTCGATTCAATGCAAAAATAACAGCGGCACAAACAAAAACGAGAAACCACCAATTTTCAGTGAAAGCAATAAAAGATCGACATCACCAAATCTCGTCTTTAGAATATTTCTTTTTTTTTTTTTCTTTCGCGGAATAGCCATCCATTCATCAGCGGAGTGCATTCGGAAAAGTCGAACAGACAATCGATTTGAATATTGGGTGAATGAATTGGATTTGTTTCCCTTTCGTTGTGGCAAGCGGACGAAAAACAAACGACAAAAAATACATGACCAAATGCAATAATTCTTCGCGGTCGCGTCTCTCTCTTTTTCTCCTCCTCCTCCTCATACTCCTGTAAATTACATTTGGCAAAGCATAATAATTTTGTTTTTCAAATCAAATCGCAAGAAGCACAAGAAGAAGAAGAAGTGAAAATAAATTAAGTGTTTTGAAATATCGTGGGTGTTGTTATTTGTGTGTTGTTGCCGCCAGTATTTCGCACAGTTCTGTTTGTGACAGCGACGGCATTCAATTTTGTAAACGTATTCAGAAATTCAAAACCAAACAACCAAACTGACAAACAGTCTGCTCATCTAGACCTAAATAAGAAATATCGTGTTCGAATTAACTGTTATTCGAAACCTGGGTGGACAAACGGTAAATAAGGTAGGTTTGTTTTTTGCTTAAATCGAAATAAAGTTGACACCTGCTTAAGATTTAAAGAAATGAAAAGAAAAGAAATATCGAAAAAGAATGTTTATATTTTTGAATTCCATACGTATGTACTGACAGCTTTATCGAATAAATGTTCTCCGTGTCATGCCATTGAATTTCAAACATAAAAGTGTCAATTGAAACCATCCCACGAGTTCCTGCTGCTGCTACTGCTGCATTACTGCGCCAGTGTTGGGCGGCAATTAGTTACAAATAATTAAAACACATTTTTGATCTATTAAAAAAGCTCAAGGTCAATTTGAGAAATGCCACAGCAACAGACAATAATATTTCCTGAAACTACTATTTATATTAAGATGGAAAGATACTCATACATACGTACATATATGAGAAACGTCTTTAGTGTAGATTACAATTCATTGTAATATTTTTTGAAAGCAATAAAACAAACATGGTGCTCCTTGATTTCAAATATCAAATTTTGGAAAACTATTCATATGTGTATGGGAATATTTTATTCCCCCTCTGAAAAAAATAAATTATTATGAATCGGACATAGTTCTTGTGAAAATAAGAATGTGAATAATTAAAATTAGTTGTGTTTTATTTTACCAAAAATAATCAACATTAATCCCAGTGATTTTTTGATTTTAAAATACCATGTGATATCTTAGAGTGATGTTGTATAAAAATATTGCTAGTTAGATAGTTACGATGGAGCAGCGAAGAACATGTATGTAATGCATTCAATTGATATGTCATTCTGTAAAATTGGAGTATTCATTTTTCTAAAACTGAGTAGCGACAGAAAAAATTTTAAAATATGAGTTTTAAAATAATTTGTTTAAACGTTTAGTGAGCTTTTTTTACACTAAAGCTGATGATACATAAGCAGCTTGGCATCACTGCATGACATGTTATGAGGGGAAGTCAGAGCTGAACTCAAATCCTTCCTTCGTTTTCCCCTTTTAATTTGCTTGTGTTTTTTTACCGTGTATCCTCGAAGATTATAAACTATTTATGGAAGTTTTTGTTAAGCTTTTTATACTCTCTACATATATAGTATATTTATTATTAAGTTAAAATTTGCATACAGTAGAATATTGTCTGCATTCAAGTTCGAACCATATCGGTCAAAGTTTTCGAATACCCCCATGTAATTGTACCTCTCCATATTTGATATTTTGCCGGTTTTAGATGCACATTCTAATGGTACAGTTTTAAATTGAGATTTTTATACCCTACACTACAAGGTGGTCAGGGTATTATGCCTTTGTGCATTTGTTTGTAACAGGCAAAAGGAAACGAGATAGACTCATAGTTCTTTTTGATGATCTGCATAGAATCACATTCTGAGTCGATTTTTGCATGCCCGTCCGTCCGTCTGTCCATATATTTTTGTCAACAAAATACAGGTCGCATTTATTGCTCGAGTCAGATGAAATTTGCACAAATAATTTGTTTGACCCAAGGACGAACCCTATTGGAATTGGAGATAATCGGTCAAAATTTAGGTGTAACTCCCATACATATTTTCTTCCGATTTGCCCTATATTGTGCACCATAATATACCGTAATATGCACTCAGTACCAACGATATTTTGGGGAAAATATCAAATTCAGCTCCGAAATACCTTAGCCAAATTGTACTGAGATCTGTTCAGATTTGTTTATAACTCCCATATATATATTCATCTGATTTCAAGTTAACTGTGCTCAAAATGGGTAATACAAGCCCGAATTGGGCTTTGGACAATAAATTATAACTATAATTATAGATGGTATGATTTAATTCTCACAAATTCCCCATAAAAACTTTTACTTTTTTATGTGAAGCTCTACTGAGAATGCAAAGTGGTGTAGTCGGCCCGCACTACTTTAAGACTTTACTAGTTTAGAGTTTGCACTGTTATCTAGCTCCTGTGGCAGAACTTTATCTATATAGATCTACTTTTTCGTATAGCCCCCATTTAATTATAACACTTGATATTCGGTATATTGACGATTTAGATTAGATTTTCCTCCATATAACGGTACCATCGTTCATTCGGTTTTCTGATGATTTTAGACAAACTTTCAAATGGATTTGTTTAAAATTCGGATTGTAGAGTTTGTAATGTGTCTGTCTTTTGTTGCAGAAGAAACAGATGGAATGGGGATTTTGTGTATCACAATCGGGGAACCTACAAATATTTGGCATATTCGTGATTTTAACCACATTTTTTAAACATAATTTTTTCCTTTTTGTGATACCCTACACCCTTTGCATATTAAGTAAAAATAAAAGTTTTTATTGCAAATTTTTGAGAATTAAAACATACCAACTATGATTATAGTTATAATTTTAAGTCCAAAGGAACTAATATATGAGAGGAATATGCTTCTCTGAATCAATTTCCACTAAATTTGCTTGGGCTTGTATTACCCATTTAAGAATTAACTCGAGAACGGATAAAAATATATATGATAGCTATATCCAAATCTGAACCGATCTAGTTAGGATTTAGCAAAGGTATTTCTGAGCAGTACTTGATATATTTCCCCAAATATCGTTATTACAGAGTGCTTACAGCTGCGGAGTACAAAGATAACAAATCGGATGAACAATACATATGGGAGCTATAGCTATATCTGAACCGATTTCGATAAAATTTGGCACACTTTTTTAGGCCTAATTTACAAACATATTTAATATTTAATTTTTATACGAAGTGTCAAGATTTTAGCTGTACCCGTTCACAAAATACCAAAAGTTACGAAATGTAGTGTTTTTTAGTGATTTTATAATGCTTCTATTCTGAATTTCTAAAAACACTCCCTTTCCACCAACATTGACTCACATGCATAATATCGAAATTCGTTTCGCTTGGTAGTTGATGAATCAGTCAGTCAGTCTCTCATTTTTTTACAGATGTATGATAGATGATTTTATATTGGATTTTAGTTATTGCGAAGGTCATGACGGCATCTTTCGGTCGAAGAAGTCGTAATTTTATATTTTTTAATCCTAATAGATAGAACACATCCTACCAAAAACTATTCAATGTTTTGGAATTACCCCCATAGGCCTCCTCCTTCTTATCAGATGAAATATTTTTTTTAATTTTAATTCGTAACCAGTAGAAACCTGACATTCTGTCTTAACAGGCATTTGCACATCGACGGTGTAACGCTACCGCTAAATTTTAGGGATTTTTAGGACAACCGATGTTTATACTATCCACCATTCTATGGAGGATATAATAGCTTTGTCATTCCGTTTGTAACTCCTCGAAATATTCATGATAGACCCTACAAAGTATATATATTCTGAATCAAAGTAAAATTCTAAGACGATTTAGCGATGTCCGTCTGCTTGTTGTAATTAAGATATTTTTTTAAAGGAATTGAGATATAGGGCTACACATTTTGCACACATGTGTATTCTACCAGTAGACAGCTTTTATATGGAGCTATATAACGGTATCTCCCGATATTCGTTTTTTTTTTTTTTGATGATTCTAGAGACATAATTCACACGAATTTTTTTAAAAATTTTGCATTCGAAGTTTGTAATGGGTATTACAGCTTATGCCTAAAAATTTCGTATGCAGATCTCCATATAACGGTACCTCCCTATATTCGATGCTTTGATGATTTTAGCGCATTACTCACCTGAATTGTTTCAAATGTCGTATTCAAAGTTCGTAACGGGTAATACACCTATGAGATAAAGTTTCGTTGAAGTCCCGCGCCGTCGTGTAGCCCCCATATTACGGTACCTCCCGATATTCTGTATTTTGATGATTTTAGCGACATTATTCGCCGGAATTGTTTTAAATTTCTTATTTGAAGATTTTAAAGGGTACTACAGCCTATTACAAAAAGAATTACATATGTAGGCCCACGTCTTCGTATATTTAAAAAATTTTCCAGTATCTTCTAAATTGTGGGGAGTATTAAAAGTTAGGCCCGGCCGAACTAATTTTTTTTTTTTGAAACTGCCATATGGCTGTTTTTTTAAAGAACATAAACAAATATAACTTTCTTTTTTACAACTTTTTTCTAGACAATCTCGGATAAGTAGAAAGTAATAGTCGACAAATTATAGTTTGTTTATATATTGATTTTGAAGGATATATTGACATTTATTTCTCTGTTTTACTAGTTTTATTGTTAATAAGAAAAGATGAAAGCTAATGGCAATGACAATATATATTTCCGCGCAAATGCAATTGCAGGTGGTGTTAGAATATCTGTATGTACCCTAATATTCGGTGCATGCATTCTATATAATGCTTAGTAAACCTGTCAATTTTACTTTTAATTTTCTTAAATTTAATTTTGAGGAAATCATCAACAGAATATGTGTTGTTGCCAAAAAAGAAACGCTTACGCCAACCATGCCTCGCATTGTTTTGGCAACGGTGTAAGGTGCAATTGACTGGCAACGCTTACAATTGAAAGTATTTATTTACGTCTATGTTCTGCTCTTTATGTACAACAATAACGTATAGTATTTGTTGCAATAATAAAATCGAAACTGAATACATTACATAGACACTTGGCCGGATGGTAATTCTATAGACTTTGTGGCGCGCAGCATCCGATAATGATGATTATTGGTGTATTTGACCAATACAAAACTTCTTTGAAATTCTAAACAATCAACGAAAATAAAAGGTTGGAAGAATACATACAAGGAATAAATACCAGATCGAATTAATTTTTAAGCTGAAAATATAACAAAACAATAAAAGTTCAGCTGGGAACTTTTAATACCATCCACCATGTGGAAGGAACTTGCTAATTTTCCGAAAAGTACCACTAAAATGAAAACAGTTATACGGGGGCTATACGAAGACTTGAACCTGCCTGCATAAGTATTTTTTGTCATAGGCTGTAGTACAAATCCGGAATAATGTCGCTAAAATCACCCAAATGCCGAATATAGGGTGGTATCGTTATATGAGTGTTATACGAAGACCCTTTACAAACTTTCTATACGAAAT